CCCCCCCCCCGGCTCCACCTCAGCACCCCTTACTATGCCGATCCTTTTCGGATTTGTTTTGTAAGCGAGTTACGTCATAGGATGTGCGTGTGTTGGAAGGAGCTGATTGAGAAGTCTCATTGGGGGGATAACAGACATGGATGTATTATTTTTTAACCGTAGTAGCACAAAAGGACAGGCATGCTCAGTATTACTAGTGACACATCGACAAACGACGTCACACATTCAATAACAAGGCACACGGCACACAGCCTAATCCACACTTACGGATATAACACCACGTCTGGTCACACGGCCGTAAAGGCGACTACCGAAGTGAGTGGATTTAGGTCGGAGGATCCGCAGGTATGCGCAGACTGGACAGTTGCGTGATGGGAGCGTCATCATAGGGTCCATTCGTCCACCTAGAGAGGGCGCAGGAGCAGAGAACAAACCGTGATTAGAGACTCAGTATATGTCGTGGTCAGGCCGAGGGTCAGGCCCCCCATGCTCATCTCGCCGGTCCCCACATTTCTGCTGGGGGGGGGGAGCGTTAATCAGATCCCGCATGACTCATTATTATGCGATCTGCGGGCCTGCGTTCTATCGCTACGCGCCCGTGGATGCGCCATGCCCCCCCCCCCCCCCCGCCGTAGCGAGTATGCATCAATCCCGGAGGTCATATTGCGCCCAAGGGGGCTTGCTACATTTCGTTGACGAGCGGCGTCAACACACCCTGATTACTATACAGTGCACATAAAGGGATACCTACCTCCATGAGGCTTGTGTCAGCAGTGTTGCGGCGGCGTCCGCGCGGACGCGCGTCTCCCTCTGCGAACCGTCACGCGGCGTACTTCATGTAGTGGCTCACCATGGCGATGTAGCTGGCCATCGTACTGTCAGAGGGGATGAGCTTGCCCGACTGGGCCGCCGTCAGCAACCTCTCGATTTCGCAGAGGGCCTCAATTGCGCTGCCGACCGGCATGTTGCGCGTGGGCTCAGTCCGCTGTAGTCCGAACTTGTCCAATAGGTGGCTGATGAGTCGCTGCAACTCTCCGCAACACAGATGCAGGTCCGGCCTCACCTCCGTGTAGACTGCCATGTCCACTACGTTGAAGTATCGGATGATGTCGTCAACGAGCTCGCGCTGGGCTGCAGCGACTCTGTCGGCGTCCATCATGGTGGCTGGCGGGCTCAAGACTGAACGCGCTGCTACAGCTACACACGGCAGTCGCCGGGGCGGTTCTATCCGCAAGCGTCAGCAGAAATGGGTGAACGGCAGGTAAGGTGTGAGGTCTAGTGGGTCGTGCGCGGGGGCGCCGCGCGCGGTGTCCAGTGGCGCGCCGTCCGCGCGGGTAAAGTGCTGACGCGTCATACCGACGTCGACCATGACACGTCGCGGTGGTCGCGGGCCCTCTCGCGCCTTGAAAAGTTCGTTCCTCTCCAGCGTGAGCGAAAATGTGTTGCTTCCGCGCGTCGCGCCCGCCTCACGCCAAAAAAGAAGTAGGGAGGGGGGGGGGGGCTTTGCTTGCGAACCCGGTCTCGAACCGAACAGGCATCGGTGCGGGCCCAGTTAAGCTCGAACTGGGCCTCGACCCCCCGCCACACGCCTCTCCTCGCCTCTCACCTT